CGGAAATTCATTTCCCATTGGTGGGTCCACTGAACTCTAATATATACTGGAAGGAGCATTGGTGACTTGTTTTTGTCTATCGATTTCCGCCATGTTGTGTATACCAGAAATATAAATTGCATGTACGGTAGCAGAGGTGCAGCTAAGTGAGAGGTACACTAGTCAAAAGTGCTGCTGCTTCATGCTTGCAGTTTGATTGCAGTGATCAACTTTTCAAGACTTTGGTATACACAACATGGCGGAAATCGTTAGACATTCTGACCCATATACGGCCAAGGCGAGTGCCTCCCCCTGGGTGGGTCGCTGAAAAAAAGTTCGGCTGAACCTGTTTGTCAGTGAGTATGTGAGTTTGTCCAAGCTTTTTTGGACCTGGAGTCAGAATGGGTGGACCGATCGGGACGAAAGTGGGACCGTTTGATTCGTCTCCGGCGAGGTAAACTTTTGGTGCTGGCCTCGGTTCGCTCGGTGCTTCGTGGCACATACTATTCCGCTTCAAAGTTTCGGTGACACGAAATTTTTTGTCAAAGCTTCAGGTCAACCCGAGGTCACGGGCAAAGCCATACTGGCGGGACACATCGATAACACCTTGAACCAGTTTCCAGGGGGGTCACCGTCTGCGAGGGGTGCAGGTTGCACGTGCTGGGGTCGGAAAACCGTTTTGACGTGAGGTCCTCTGGCTCAAAGAAATTTTAAGCTATCAACCTCAAAATCGGTTCAATGGTAGTCCCAGGCAAGGCCTCCAAAATAATGCACATTTGGTTGAGCTAAACTCTGTGGTGCATGAGCTATGCACGTGCAAGCCGATTGCACCCCTTCGTACGTTGCCACGCCTGCAGGGTAAACGGCAGCTCTAACTGGTTCAAAACTTGCAGGTCATCAGAAGAATACATTTGATCACGACATTCCGGCGAGATAATATCCGAGGGGTGCAAGCTGCGCGTGCGGGGGGCAGCTTGCACCCCTCACGACACCTCCCAGATCTTCATTAAAAACCGACAAAAGTCGGTTTTTAATGAAGTCATTGGGCTATGGATCCTCCAATTCTGGCCCAAGGCAACGCACGAGCGCTGCCGGCATCTAGTGTAATAATTGAATGAGGACTTTACTCCACAAGAAATCGTTCGGGTCGGAGCTTTCGAATTGTATTACAAAGCTTCGTCAGCGTATCGTAATCGGGTTGGGGGGGTATCGGTCGCAAAATTGAGGGCGATTCGTCTTTGGCAGACAAGGACATGTCACAGATAGTAAAATAGATAAATAGCACGTGACATTCTGTGATAAAACATTTAACGTATATGAAAAAGATGAAAATATCTCATAAGCAATATAGATTCTAATTATATCTAAATCTGTTCAATTACAAAGGTTATATAAAGTGATAAATAGTAATAAAGACCTACCTAGGATATATAGAAAGTGATATAAACATGTATGCAACATCAATAGGTAATAGGCTAACAAAGGTACCAGGTATATAAAATACACTATAAACGACCAAGAAAATCATTCAATAGGTAAGGAGTAAAAATGATAGCAATGATCAAAAACACTCCATCAATTATAGGCTAGAACATTCACAACTAATAACATTATTAAAAGGTGGATATAAAGTTCACAAGAAGTCAAATTCTAATCAACACCTTTGATTATGTACGTTTGTATTTGTCTGTATATGTAAGTGTCTGCAGTGATATCAATTAGTAAAGCAGCTCTAATTAGCGAAGTTACCCAATGGGGTCCGGCTGTATAGGATTATGTAATGTGCATTGCGCAATGCACTCGGGATATTTTTTCAATGTTTATCGAAGCCGGCCCTGAATCATGTTCGGCAGTTTCTGCCGGGTTACTGTCATTATGTAACCATGTGCTTAGCATGCTGATTAGTGTTCCGATGGATTAATTTCACAGACCGTGACGGTAAGAACATGACATTTTTCAAAGTGTGAGCAGTTTTCCTTTGATCAGGAACTGGATTTCAGGAACTGGATGATCAGTAACTTCATTCTACATGTGGTAGAGCCATTATTATTTGCCAGGACTGTTGCTGGTAACTCATGTCTGCACATCTTCAACGGCCTGTCTCTTGTTGGTTGTCTGTCTTCTTGTTTGGCTTCTGTTTTGCTATAGGTACTTTTTTCGCGATACGGTAACATTCCGCCCATGGTTTCCGCTGTTTCGGTAGTTTTCCCTTCCCGACCTCTCCGCTGCGTTGTGTGCCGTCGCCGGTCACGTTTGCCCAGGTCTGGGGCGTTTTTTTGTGATTGTTTATACCGCTGGGCCTGTCGTACACAGTGTTCCGTGTCGGGCCGGTGCCATTGTTGGCAGCGGATGTCATGGATACCGCCGTGGGGAGGCGGACGCCCGTATGCGGCGGCAGGGCCTCGGGGTGGCTGCTCCCAGTCCCGAGACCCGCCGTACTACACCCGACTGGACCTCACTGGTAGCGGCTGGCCAGGGGAAAATTACCCAGCGCACTCACCCACTGACAAATTCAACTGCAGGCTCCGCACCTCGAGTCGTAGACGGCTGGCAGCGTTGGCAGTGATAATAATCGTAGTTTCAGTTACAAGCGCTATGCATACGGCAAACCATTTTGAATAATAATCTTTTACTGGCCGTCAACCCTTGAGCAGTTTTCGAGAGGGCTTTTTGAAACAGAGAATCTCTTTTGACATGGACATTGGACACTCAGGACAGCCTTCCGCGGCACACGCTCGCCAATCTCTTATATTTCACTCAAGTGTCTTAGGACCTATTAGTTGGTAAAGTAATATTGTGAAGAACATCTTCAGCCAGTCTTTTGTGTATGTACGGTCCCTGTCCGTCTGTCAGTACGGTCCCGGTCTGTCGGTACGGTCCCGGTCTGCCTGCCCCGGTACGATCCTGGTCTGTCAGTACGTCCCCTCCGTCTGTCAGTACGGTCCTGGTCTGTCTGTTCCGGTCTGCCTGTCCCGGTACGATCCTGGTCTGTCAGTACGATCCTGGTCTGTCAGCATGGTCCCTGTTTGTCGGTCCTGGTCTGTCTGTCGTTACAGTCCCTCCGTCTGTCATTACAGTCGTTACAGTCCCTCCGTCTGTCGGCACAGTCCCCTCCGTCTGTCGTTACAGTCCCCTCCGTCTGTCGTTACAGTCCCCTCCGTCGGTCAGTACCTACAGTCCCCGTCTGTCCGACTCAGACCGGGTAGGAATGGACTGTGGAGGGGAGCGCCGCCGACAGTATGACCCGGCACGACCCGCGCCGTGAGCCCGAATGGCCCGGGGCGCTGTCGGCCGGGACGGGCCGCCGACCCGTCTGAGCCCGGCGGCTGCCGGTGGAAAACTACCCGACACTCAAGTCGATAGCACGTCTGGAGCGGGCGGCGTCCGTGTGGCTCTCCGGCCGCCCCCCGGACGGGGCCCCTGTTACTGTCGCAACAGGTCCCTGGATGGGGCCCCTGAATACCGTCCGGGGTCCCTGGACGGCGCCCAGCTGATACCGTCCGGGGTCCCTGGACGAGGCCCCTGGTACCGTCCGGGGCCCCTGGACGAGGCCCCTGTTGCTGCCCAAAATGTCCGAAGGACGAGGTCTCTCGTATCGTTCGGGGTCTCTGGACGGGGGACGGGATTTCTAAACGAGGCCCCTGAGCAGTCCCTGATCACGCCTCGATTTGAATTAGGTACCGTTCCGTCCGTTCGTTCGGTCCGTGCAAAGGGCCCCTGTTACTGCCCAGGTGGTCCCTGCATTGGATCCCTGTTATCGTTTGATATGTCCTGTAACAGGCCCCTGTTCCAGACCAGGCGTTTTCTTGATTGAATGGGGTCTATTTGTCCATGTCCGTCTTTACATTCTTTGGATGGGCCGTTGTGTCTCTGGCTGAGCTGTGACTGGACGGGGACCCTGTAACTCAGGAGGGGCCCCCGTGACTGGACGCGGCCCTGTATCTCTACATAGACCCTGTGACCGTCTGGACATCTCTGGATATAGCGGCATCCGTCAGTGTGCTCCGGTCCCTAAAATGCATCAATTGGGAGCGCGAAAGTGGGCTCACACAGCTCGGTAAATTCGCGCGTGTTGATGCACATTTCTGAGCTGCATGTATCCGATTAGTGCAGAATGTTTCCCTACCGCATATCAAACTGCTATTGTCGGGAGCTGATTCGTTTCACACATGCGCTGCCACCGAGCCGGTGCGGTTTTATTTGGCGTGCCGTCGGTGCCGGAATGCCGGTTGTTGATCCATTGATATACCAAAGGCCCGGCTAATTGCACGGTACAATTCGCCTCTGAGGTGACACTATCGGTGGGTCGTTGTGTGGACACTGCACAGAGACATTGGGTCTCCGTGGTGCTCATTCTATCGCTGAGCCGGGGACAGATAGCATTTTGTGTGTTGCATAGTTCTGGTACGGCTGTGACTTTTACTTCAAAGTATTTGTCTATCCGGATTCCACGGGTGTTTTATGTATTACAAAGCATCGTGAGAATGGATTTTTTTTCATTTTCGAAGGTAGCGCACCGATATACGAGTAGTCAGTAGACTGAGATTTTAACACCTATTTTTATTTAGTTTTCCATGCCATGGCGTGACTACTGACTTCAACTGATAGGACCCCTCCATGCTTCGACTGCTTCTTTGGGCATCTTTTCCACAGCCAGTCTCGCTAAACCATGGAATCTGTATAGGACACGGAACACTCATAGTTATTCTTATTATGTATAATAGTTTGATCATAGTAGACACAAGTAGTTTAGAGGGAGCTCTTATTAGACTTTCAAGCTATATTATGAATTGTGATATAGGGCTGTATGGGCTGACCCGCCTCAGGGCTCAGCATTGCGAAACTGTCAAACCTACATGACGTTAGTTTGACGGCTCCGTCCAAATGACCAAAGGTTGTTGCTGACTGAATGTTGTTGCTGACCAGTGACAAATGGCCAGAGCGCTGTTCAAATGTCACACTGAGGTCGCGCGATGTGTGCGTGCGTCACTGACCAGCCCATCTGTTCTGTTCTCTCACAGGAAGTTTGCGCAGCGCTCTCCGACAGATCTGGCCGCCGACCACCCGGAGGTCCTGGCCCTGCTCACCCGGTACAGGGTCACGGCAGAGAGCTCCCGCGGTCAGGGCGACGGAGCACCGGGCGGAGCCGAGCGAAAGGTCAGTGGTGTACCTGCGGCAGAGAGCTCCCGGGGTCAGGGCAGAGAGCTCCCACGGTCACTCCGTAGAGCTCCCGCGGTCAGGGCGCCGGCGCCCCAGGCGGAGCGGAGCGAAAGGTCAGTGGTGCACCCGCGGTGGACGGCGCCTGGGGTCCCTGCAGGGAGCTCCTGGGGTCAGGGCAGAGAGCTCTCGTGGTCACTCCGGAGAACTCCCGCGGTCATGGCGACGGCGCCCCGGGCGGAGCCGAACGAAAGGTCAGTGGTGCGCGGACAGCTCCTGGGGTCACAGCAGAGAGCTCCCGGGGTCACGACAGAGAGCGCACGGGATTAAGGCAGAGAGCTTCCGGTATCAGGGCAGAGAGCTCCCGGGGTCAGGGCTACGGAGCGCCCGGCGGAGGCGAGCGAAAGGTCAGTGGTGCACCCGCGGCAGAGAGCTCCGTGGGTCACGGCAGAGAGCTCCCGGGGTCAGGGCAGAGAGCTCCCGGGGTCAGGGCAGAGAGATGGAATAGAATTCCCGGGGTCAGCGCCCGGGGCGGAGCCGAGCGAAAGGTCAGTGGTCAGTGACGCCCAGCGGCGGACAGAGCGCCTGGCGCACAGCCTCCGGGCAGAGGGAGATTGGGGCCTAGCACTAGTGCTTCAAGAACCGGGTACAGGTGAAGGCTGTTTTTCCCTGTGGCGTCATCATTTTCCTTGTTTCATGGTTTATTTTTCACCAACTGAGCGGTGAAGTTCTAACTTACAAAAATAGGAACTATTCATTGTTGAATATAGGAATTGCACGCCGTTGGTTAGTAGTAACGTTCCATGAATATGAGATCAGTCGGTATTCATACCGTGCCACTCACGCTTGTATGTAGGTCATGCGTCGCATGTTTTAAATGTTAAATACGACTTCAACAGCGTGCTGAATGTTTATGTAATTTGTTGTCGGCGTTATTTTGGGTTTCCCTATCAGTGACTCGGGGGGGGGGGGGTAGGTGAAGGAGGGGTATTTCTTTCTGATAATCATTAACGCTTTATTGTATTGTACGCCGTATTAAGTATATAAATCCCAACAAAAGTAGATACATTAGTAGCCACCAACGGGGCTGATATAATGTAGTTCTACAACTGGGGCATTCCACGTCAAATCAAACACCGAAATCCGTCACCCCCTTTGATTTTTCTGAAAATTTGTAGGCAGACTGGGCATGGTCCAAAACTGAGTTACGTATAATATTTTCGAAATTTGATAACACATAGCTGAGATATAGGTCATCGAATATAGCCAAAAATGCCACACATCAATTTTTTAAATGTCTATAACTCTGGTTCCCTTTCTGGTATCAAAATGATATTAGCAGGGTCTTGTAGGCAATTGATAAGGCTTTGATTTTTAATTATAAAATTCAATTGAAGTGACCTTGAAATGCATTTGACCTTGAATTAAAACAGAAAAATTTAAATAGCAAAAAACACGTACCCTTCGATTTGGGTAATTTTTACATATTATGTCCGCCACAATGTTCCTAACCATCTGTGAAAAAATTGGAGTGGGCCATTCATAACTTTAGCAGTAAACGCCATTTTTATGTAGCAATGTCAGGCTTCCACGCGTGACCTTGAAATGACGGGCACGTTGGCGTGTGGAGAGAGGGAGTGGGGAGGGGCTTGTGTTTGGGCGTGTTGAGTGGGGGCGTGTGTGTGCATATGTGTGAAAATCTCCCTTTGTATCTCCCCCTGGCATACACACTGCAGCACATGACGCATGGCAATGGGGATGTGCCTTCGCATTTTTGGCATAGGAATACAATGAACACGGATGCACTTTTATTACATGGTTTCTCACACACACTGCTGCGATACTGATTTCACAACTGATTCAATTCTGACATTACAGGAATCGGAGTACTCTGCCACTTGCACCAGTCGTGTGTTAACAGGGCGAACAAAGTGAATCTTGTGAGTTCCTTTAAGGGGTTTCGACGCCCCAAATCTGTCGGAAAGTAAGTCATTTTCTTGCTGCCATTCATGACATGTGAAAAATTGAACACTGATGGATGGTATGTGTTCACGAGCAAAAAGATAGAACTGTCGTGGGGTGACGATCTGGTTGTCGCCAGGCCTCTGCAGACTTGCCCTCGCAGCCAATCGCTTCAGCGTTCCTCCAATGCCATCACACGGTCCCTTCCCATGTGACGTAGCGAAGAAGTGCCATTCGGCGGGAACCCCAAAATCCTCAGCGTGGTGACAAAGATTCACAAAAATTTTTCCGATTCTTATACTGTCCCGCACAGCCATCTGAAAAATAGTACACTTTTTTTGGCGTGTATCCCAGTCTCTCTGAAAGAAAACTCATCAAACCTTTCTGAAACAAATGAACGGCGACTGTGTCGTGTGTCATGCATTCAGAGATGGCGACATAAGAGAGATGTTTTGTTTGGCCATCTTCAAGCCAATAGCAAACAAACGGGTGCACGGTCACTTGGTCACTGTTCCAATGATATGATTGAACCTCATCCTGAACAACAAAGCTATAGTTCTCCGAAAAATCACCGATGACTACAATCTCTCCATCAGCTAGATCGCTGGTTTTGAGCCTCTGCAGGAAGGATGCCTGAGACTTCGCAATAAAATCGTGAATAATGAGACGCTCAACGTCAACGCAAAAGTCTTCAATGAACTCACAGGTCTGTTTTTCGACAGTTTCCAATGTGCACCTGTCTGTCGTTCTCCACTTTCTGAATTGCACCATTTCAATCATATGTTTGTCAAACACATCCTGAACATGTTGCTCCAACCGTTTCGTTCCTGCGCACTCTTCACATTTTCTAAATATGCAGTCTAATGCTGGCGGGTTGCACATAACTTTTGCTAAGCAGTGCTGATAACTAACCAAAATCTCTCCTTCTTTGTTTGCAAGCTTGTTCAGTTGGGAGCCCTCAAGCATCAGCTTCACGTTTTGGTGGAGACTACAAACACAGACGCTATGCGTTCCGCTGGCCCCGGCCAAGACACACTGAGGTGGGCGTAGCTCAGCAAATTTCGACAGTCCGATTTTACTTTCTGGGTGTTCGCTTTTAAAACATCGATGAGCTTCTTTCAAATTGCAAAGCATTAAACGTTTCTGCACGTGTTCTTTTTTTCCTTCAGCATTTATAATGGACAAAAAATCTTTTTTCCCAGGCATCTGACGACTGATGTCGTCTCGGAGGTAAAATAACTTAACCCGTTTCTCCGTCTCATCGCACAGTGATTTTCCAGCTTTCTGACAAGGATCGCTAACAGAGCCCTTTTCCTCTTGCAACCTCTTCGCTGCACAAGCCACATGAACTGTCGTTTCGAATACGCTTGCTATCTGTCTGGCGGACCATGATGCAGGTACTGTGGTGAGTATACGAAGTTTCTCATGTCTGTCAGTGCTTTTGCTAAATTTTGCTTTTAGCTGCTCGAGCATTTCGTCATAAAAACCCGCTTTCTCAGTTGCATCATCGCTCGCAGTCGCCACCCTGTCAGTTTCTGAGTTACCTTGCAAATGTGATAATTTTGATTGCACGATGCCGGCGATTTTTTTCGTTTTCTCCGTAACATAATGCTCTTGACCTAGTTTTCTTTTAGTTAAAGGTGATCCTCCGAGCAAACCGAAAGTTTCATTTAACACGTTGACCTCGTGTGCCGCCTCCCATTCTTCGATGCCGCTTGCAGGACTGAGGACGGGGGTGGCAGGACTGCTGGACGAATCATGGCGGGTTCCGGTTTTGTCGCCACTGTTCGCAGTACAAGCCGCATCCGTTGTTTCGATAACTGATAATTTTGCTAGGTCTTTGCGACACCATGTGCAAAGAAGCGACGCAGCATTTAAGCCGAAGTCAGCACATTTTCTCAATTGCACCTCACTAATGCGCCTTAAATTTCGCTTCCTTTTCTGTGCTGGATGGCGCTTAAGCGGGTCACAACAATACAGCTTGTTGCTTAGTACTAATTCTTTTTGGCTGTCGGCCTGGGCCATGTCTTCTGCGTTGATGTGTTATCTGCAATAGAATGCATGCAATTATCCCAAGGTCGATAAGAATGCTAATGAAACAATGCATGAGCCCTTGCCTTATTGCAACAAAAGTTTGCATTTGCAGTTTGCATTCAGGGTACCTATGAACAACACAACGTGAGAACAGTTAACCCGCGCCGGGCAAAGGGAATGGTGTTTAATTAACCCCCTTCACCTCTGCTCCTAGGTCACGTAGCGACACGGAATATGGGACATTCGAAAGAGCGTCAAAAAAACACGACGAAAGTACTCCGTCATTTTTTAGGTCAGGTAAAAGGTCAGTTCACCAGAGTTCATCAAAGGCCAAATTTTGCCTTCTCTAATCGTTTGACAAATCGGCTCACAACTCGGCAACAAATAGAGCTGTAGCGCCACAAAAAGCGCATTCGATAGCTCTTTAACGTCTTTTCTGAAATAACTTATCAGATTCAAACTAAATTCAATGGTTCCAGATTTTTTTACGATTTTCTTTTAAAAACTTTTGACTTTAGAACGGCATAACGCTGCTTTTGACAGCATTTTGCTACCCTCGTTGAAACACAAACAAACTTTTAAGGGACCCTTACAAGGTCATTTAAAATTTGACCTGAGGTCAAGGTCATGTCCTAGTCGGAAAAGGCTATGTCGCATATCAGTCGATCTGTATCGTCGATCTGAAAACATTTCAAGTGTTTTCATCGCCCTAGCATGTCTCTATGAAAATGCATTGTAAAAAATACTGCTGGAGATCTTTCAGGACCTGGGATGACCTCAGAGACATAAAGATGGAGCAGTCACGATTGCAAATTTCCAATTTAATGTATCTTGACCTTTCGTGACCTGAGATGACCTCAGGGGCATACGGAGGGGCTACGGGCTGCAATTTTCCGACTAAGTGCGTCTTGTTAACCGGTAAGCCGAGGTTTCAGGCCGAGGTTTCAACGGCATTCGTCCAAAACAGGCGCCTTTGAATTTTCTCCCACTAACCTATAATGGAG